TTTGTTTTACCTCATATTTTGAACCTTTCCGGTGGTCCGATTCTTGCCAACTTTTGATATGTTATTCCCCACGTTTTATTGTACATAAAACCATCATAAAACGTTTTCTTGCAATTTCTTTGGGGTAAGTGCATTTTCTTCATTATTTTGACTCTACTAATTAACCGTATCAGAAAATAAATTTACACTTGGCGCCTCATATGTGAGTAGCCGCAGCGATTCCCCTCAGTCTCTTTCAATCATCAAGCGATTGAGAATGTCGCGATGTCTGCCTTGTTGCTCAATTTAATATATTTATGCTGAAAAGAAAGAAACGCCATAGGCCTAGTAGGTAGCTTACCTTTTTATTATTTTAATAAAAAAAATAAAATTTTAACATTTCGTTATTTACACTATCTTACCCTAGCTAGGCTCTAGGCCCGCTCCTGATAGCTAGGCCTAGACCCAGGGAGTTGTTATATATTATATAGGCCTAGTCACTATAACAACTCCCTTCTAGGCCTAAGCTAAGCCGCTTTGTTTTCGATAGTATAGTACAGAGTATGCCCAGGCTTTAGTCAATTCTAGGACTAGCCTAGGCTAGGCTTTGTAGTCCTAATTCTTTGTGGAAAGAGTAAATTTGTTCATTGAGGTAAATCTTTTATTTACGGTTATGCCTTCCTACATACCACATGAAGCAACACAACAAAGACGTCGACACTGATGCAAAAATGTTATTGGCATTATAATTATATAGGCGAGACCTTTTATTTTATACCTTGTCCTTGTTTTATTTAGCGAACCAAATACAATTTTATTTTTGACCAATTAGCGCACCAGCCACCACGAAAAACTGATTTCCGAAAATATGGCAGAAAAAAAATCAACAATGTCCATCAATGTTATCAGACTTTTAATTCTGAAACATATATTTTTGTAAAAGAATTTTAAATTGAGGATGTTGCTTATCATTTTTGTCTTAAACTCTTTTGTTGTGTTTTATTAGGAAGATCAGCCAATTTGAGGTGGTATCCAGAGTGTTGAAAGTCAGCAGCAATAGAGGCCCACAGTACTAAGGAGCAATTTGTAAACATCACTAGATGGAGACGATTAAAGAGGAAGAGAATGTTAAACAAAAGGAAACTGGGAGCAGAAAAAGTTTTCGGTGTGAACAATGTGATAAAGTCTTCAAAAAACAGTACCTCTTAAAACGCCACTCTGTTGTACACACAGGAGAGAGGAAATTTGTTTGTTCAATTTGTGATAAGACATTCAAACTGCGAAGTACACTTGACCACCACTATGCCGTTCACTCTAAGGAAAAGCTGTTTGCCTGCAGCCTCTGTCCGCAACAGTTCTCACGAATGTCTACATTGCGGACACATATGGCAATACATGCCAAGATGAAGAATTTCCAGTGCGACATTTGCGGCAAAGATTTTGTACAGAAAGGAAACCTTACAAGTCATATGAATACTCATTCAAACAAACGGCCATTTAAATGTACAATATGTGGATGGGGTTACAATCAAGGTTCTAATTTAAAGAAGCATATTATTACTACTCACACTAAAAAGGAAGGTTGTGCACAGAGTATGAAATCACCCAATAAAAACAACCCTGCTAAAATGCAAAAAGTAAAAGTGCAGGAATCATTGGAATCCAGCAGTGACACTCATGAAAATGGGCTTTATAGACTGATTTTACCAAATGATCTTGAATCCATTACTGCTGGGTGCAGCCAATCATTGGAGAACAGTCACCAAACTGGAGAACCTGAAGTCGGTCCTCAGATTCCTGACCAGAATTCATTGCCATCACAGAGAATGCTATCAATGCAAAATTATGAAAGAGTACTTGATATTGACAAGGAACCCCAGTCAAGTTCTCTTCGGCTTTTACAATCAAATATCACGCCAGGTGTACTGATTCTTGTTGATGACAAAACTGGAGAGATTTCACTACCAGTAATGCAAGAATCACCTGACAACCAAGTCCTTCGGTTGTTGATTGACACCTGTGATGTGGATTCAATGTCAGAAGCACGTCAGCAGATGAGCAGTGATTTTGCATCTACATCTGGAATATCTAGTCTTTGTATGGAAGACATTTTGTCAGAAAGGTTTGATCAGAGACCTATTCAAAATGAACTCTCAATAATGTTTGGCAGGGATGAAGGTTTAGAGCACAGTGTTTTAGAGCAAGAAAGCTTAGAGGACACTATGAACTATATTACAGACAGCAGTATGGATTTGTGTATTGAATAACTGATTTTATTTAAATACAGTAAAGTAAATTTATTATGGGTTGGTATACATTTGTGATTAAAAAATATTGCAGCTACGGTATATGAACATTATTGTATATGCATATTATTTACATTCTTCTGTAGCAGTGGCTGATTCATGGGGCCAGCCGACTTCCCCCCCCCCCATTTCTGGCCATCTAGAGATACCGTAATAATATATTTTTTTACCTCAGCCTCAACCATGATGGGGCTGAGGTATAGTATTCTGAGTATAATACACTTACAATGTTGAATGCAAAATACTACACAATTACACATCTCAATAAACAAATAAAAAACAAAAACAGTGACATTAATTACAGAACAATGTGAGTGCAATATTTTTTTATCAGTCAAAAAAATTATAATACAGGGGGAATTTAACAAAAAGCAATGCTTATTCAAACATGGATGCAATTTCGAGTTCTAACATGGAACAACCCATTTTAAGTAAATGCAAAAATGTATTAAACTAAGTCATAATTAAAAACAAAATCTTCATTTTGAATCAAATAAATTTGCAAGAATATTTTACCTATGAAAACTATAATAACACAAAAGATGGCCCAAATAGTATAGCATACCCTGATCATTTACTTTCCCAGAGTTATTGCAAATGGCTGACACTATGGCTTAATAAACGTCTAAAAAAAAATCAAGCACAAGAGAGCAGGAACTCGGACTAATGGTCACTGAAAGAATCTGCTTCGGTTCAGCACACTCCTAGTGGCCACCACAAGCCAAGTGGTGTCCCCGACAGGAAGGCAGCGATTTCCCAGATCAATGGCCCATTGCTTTGCCACCATCCACCCACCACTAGCGCCACAACCATTTTAGCTAAAATACTCGCTCGCATACAATAGAAATAATTGTTGTGAAGTGGTTCATCAGTGATTTTATCTATTTTTGGCATTTTTAAGGATTGAACCAGTACCACAGGCATTGAAAATCAAGTACAGTAGAACCCCTATATTAAGGGGACACCTTCATGACCAAAAAAAGGGTCCCTTTAATAGGGGTGTCCGCTAAATAGGGGTACCCCTATTCACTAACCAAAACGTGCAATTGTCCCCTTAATAGGGTTTTTTGGCATATTTTCATATAACAATGTAATACAATTCTTCATAATTTGATTTTTATTGACATTCAGTAGGCCCTATATAGTAGAATTATAACTAATTTATAGAAATAATTTTCAAGGCAAATTCAATTCATTTATAATATGAAATCAGCAGAAATGTAATTAAAACAACAGTATATGTTCCCAATATTGTTTCATAATGAATGAATTAGAATTATATAAAAGTGCGCAAAAAAAATTTAAAAGAAGTCCCAATGGTTTAGGGTCAAAATTTACAAGATTGGTTTATACGAAGTAACACATTTAGTATGCCTTTCCTATATTCACTCTAAGGATTTGGAGAGAAAATTCTGGTTTATTGCTCAAATTTCGAAGTTTCAATTTTCCATTTGAATTAAATTCAATTTCAATTTATTCAGAAAACCTCCGGAACAGAGAAGTAAAGAAGTAAGCCTACAATAACTTTCAAACAATAGAACAATCTCATTAAAAATTATAAGCTTTTCATGCATATACCAAAATAATTAAAATAAAAACCAAGAAGAAATTGGGAAAATTCTCAAAATCAATAAGAGGAGAGAACAGAACACCTTTAAACAGATACAAGCACAACAATAAACCATGAAAATAATTAAACACACCAAACTACTACCAAACAAAGACGGATTATTTTACTTAGTTCAAAATTCTTTTTGCAATTTTATTTAAAATATTATTATTATTATTATTATTATTATTATTATTATTATTATTATTATTACGTAGTCTAACAAAAGCTCTACCTTGACAAACAGCAGTAGAAAGGTGGTAAAAGTTCCTTAATAAGTTGCTCTAAATGTGTCAATATTTAAAGTTTAGTGATTTTTTCTTATTTTGAGACTGTTGTATTTGTTGTAATACAATAGAAAAAAATAAATGTCCCCTTAATAGGGGTTATTTGACCACTTGGCACACTTATAAGGTGTCCCCGTCCCCTTAATAGGGGTTGCCGCAGTGGTAAAAGATATCGCCCCTCGTTTCACGGAAGTGTCTCCTAAGAGGTGCCCCTGAATAGGAGTGTCCCAAAGGAGGGGTTCTACTGTACTTTAACCACCCCGGTCAACATCTGCTTTATTATGTAACATTTTAAATATTATTATTATTATTATTATTATTATTATTATTATTATTATTATTATTATTATTATTATTATTATTATTATATTATTATTATTATTATTATTATTATTATTATTATTATTATTATTATTATTAGGGCCTATTATTATTATCAGCATCATTATCAGAATCATTACTAGGCATGCTTATAAATATATTTGAATCATACAAGTGGACCATCAATGCAGCAAATGAGAGAACATTGTATATCATTAAGCCTCAACTAGTGGCGTATGGATGGTCAGAGCAGCTAGTACAAAGCACTGGGGCTCGGGGTCATTGGAGGCCCGTTCAATAATGTTCCTAAAATTTATAAATATTAAAAAAAAAAAAAAAACTGAAAGAAAAAGAAACAGTCAACGGGCCCCTAGATAAAAATATTTAAAAAAAAAAAAAAACTGAAAGAAAAAGAAACAGTCAACGGGCCCCTAGATAATAGCCTATTTAGGTTTTATAAGAGGCAACAGTTATTGATTATTGTTCACTATTTTTTTTTTAGAAAGATAGGAAAATATATACACAAAAGAATTAATTAAAACATGATTAAGAGCTTTCTGTATGGTACGAGATAAAAGTAAAAAAGCATCACGTAAGATGAATTATCTGAAAATGTACAAAAAATCTTTATGCTTTAGAACAATACGGAAACTAAAACATCGTTGCTTCCGGGAATTCTCTTGGGAACAGGGAAATTTCTCCTGGATCCCACCTGCCACAGCTGCCTCTAGATCCCCATAGTTACAACCGTCTCGCATCGTGGGGGACGGTCCCGCATTTTAAAGTGATTTTGGATGAAACACGCATTTTGCAGAAACACATGCGTGGGCATAAATTTATCACGCATTTAGCACAAGTCAATGCGTGATCACGAACTTGAGTCATTAGAAGGCTTTCGTTATCTCGTTCGAGAATCAACTCACTTAGAAAATTCCTCTTTCTCGACAACAACCCAGCCAACCACGCACTTAGTAGAATCCAGGAGGCACGTGCGGTCTTGTGCATTGTCACCACCACCACCGGCTCTCCGCCCCTGGACCCCCGTGGGCCCAGTTCCCCCCGGTCAACTGGTGTATATCACGCATTTAAAATCCCTCAGGTTGGTAACTGTGGATTCCCAACCAATTAACTCAGTCCTTGTCGTTCATTGGCGTATCCAAAGGGGGGGGGGGGGTGGAAGGAG